AAAAATTAAGTTCAACATTTCTAGACCAATATGGCTGTTAATTTTTGTACAATGCCAACTCAACATGGTAAACTGGGATACTTTTTTCCAAAGTTGACAGCACAGCTAACGTTTCCAAAAATTCAAATTATACATGTATATATATTTATATTTATATAAAAAGAACAATAATGGCAGTATGTTATGCATCAATAGCAGCAACAGCTTTTCCAGGTTCTGCAGTCATTTGAACAAAATTGTAGAGACATCCAGCACACTCCATTTTAAAAAAAAGTAAAAACAAAATCCCAGAAAACAGCATAGTTCTGTTACTCTTGTGGTACCTGGCACCGTTTTTTTTTTTTTTTTATAAACTTTTTAATTTAAAAAAATAAAATGCTTCTGGAGTAAGTGACAAGATTGCCGTATCCGCCAGGCATGTGCCTTTAGTCCCAGCAATTAGGAGTCAGAGGCATGCAATATCTGTGAGTTTGAGGAGTGAGTTCTAGCCAAGGCTACATAGTGAGCCCCTGTCTCAATAAACAAACCAACATGAAACAATTAGGAATATCCATTTTACATAGCAGTTTGCATTATCAGAGAAGCACTGATTACAGGTCCCATGCCATCAGAATTCTAATAGTTACAGGAAGACATGGCTTTTCATTGTTCTAAATATTGTTCAAGGCACTAAGGACTCAACAGCAGACAAACATAAAACTGTGGTCTAGGATTGGCACTCCAGTGAGTGAGGGCTTAGCAGGAATGAAACCTCTAGTACTGTGAAAACAAAAAAAAACTAACAAAAAAGCCTTCTAACTATCCATTAACAGGAGAATGGATAAATTAGGTGTATTATACCATGGGAATGATATATATGTATATATATATATATATATATATATATATATATGCTAAACTATATGAATAATAAATGTGACTATCAGTATGGAGAAAATGAAAATGCTGTGTGGCAAAAATTGAAAAACGGCATGCATGATGAAATAATATTTACATATTATAAAATAGTATATATTGCCTATGGAGATATACATATATCATGAAATGCAAATATATTGAAATTAAATCAAATTCTGGAGTAGGAATTTTTGGAGAAATAGTATTTAGTACATGTTCGTTGGCTTTATTTACATTTGTTTTATTAAGGTGGGGTTTTGTTTTTTTTTTGTTTTGTGGGTTTTTTTTTTTGTTTTTTGTTTTTGGTTTTGGTTGGGGTTTTCGAGACAGGGTTTCTCTGTGGCTTTGGAGGCTATCCTGGAACTAGCTCTTGTAGACCAGGCTGGTCTCGAACTCACAGAGATCTACCTGCCTGTGTCTCCCAAGTGCTGGGATTAAAGGTGTACGCCACCACCATCTGGCTTGTTCATTATGTTTTATGTTCCCAAATAGCTTGTAATAATTCAGATGAATAATTTCAGTTACCTCTGTAAAACTTTTATACAGTTAAGCGGCATAAAGTAAGTGCTCTGAATAGTGCTATATAAAAATCTAAGTTGTTGGAATGGAGAAATTTTGGCTGAGGGGTGAGAGCATTTGCTGTGCAAGCAGGAGGACTTGAATTCAGATCCACAGAACCCACATATACCTGTGACCCCAGCACTCTGGGGAGCAGAGACAGGAGGTCACTGGAGCCTGCTGGCTGCCAGCCTCACACTGTCTCAAGGGAGTGAAGTGGGGAGTTAGAGAGTGGCACAGCCAGTGTCCTCTGGCTTCTCCAATATGCATGGGAACTTGTATCCACACACATATATTCACATATACAACATGCACACATACATAACATGTAGACATTAAAAAAAAAAAAAAATCCTAAGTGAAGAACTACTGATGGTGAATTAAAGCGCTCACACCTAATTGAAACTACATTTATGTGACACCACATCTTAATTGCCTACTCCTTCTTGACATATAATCTTGTACGTACCATCTTTTTTGAGACATGGGACTTACTCTGTAGACCAGGGTGACTTTAAACTCACAGAGATCCTCTTGCCTCTGTTTTCCCAGTGCTGGGATTAAAGGCGTGCACCACCATACCCAGCACCTTCTAACTTTAAAAATAAAAATTCTTATTATTATTAGTGTGTGTGTGGGGGGGGGCGCGAGTCTATGTATATACATGCAGATGAGATGTGTACCTTGTGTGGGATGTCAGTGGACAACTTTTGTGAGTCAGTTTTCTCCCTCCACCATGGGTTTGGAGATTGAACTCGGGTCCTCGGGTAACTGTAAATGCTTTTATTCATTGACCATCTCAGTGGTGCCCTTTTATTTCTATA